CTCTGGCCCTACGAGTCCTCAACTTAAACAGGGACCTTGGAAGAAAAAATATCTAGGAACTTTCCACATTTTCTCTCTTTGCCTCTCTTTGTCTCTCTCTCCCCTGCTCTCTGCATTTCTGTTTTTCAGTCTCTCGCGTCTCTGTCTGTCTCTGCACATGGGGCCGAGGCCGTGGCAGCCTGAGACCGCCCCTCCCCCCTTCCGGGGGACCCGGGCATGTCCGGGCAGATCTGAGGCACTCCTTGCAGAAACTGCTGCACGTCTGGCGGCAAGCTGCCAGAGCAGGAAGGAGCCGGTAGGAAAGGTGAAGCGGGTGTGGGAAAGGACTCCTTTGGGATTTCCGGGCCGGTACTTTGCCCCCCTTCCCCGACTCACGCCTGTCACACTCAGTGTGTCCCAAGATGGCTTAAGCATCTTCCCCCAAACCTTGGGTTTTGAGGGATGCATAGGCGTTCTCCAGGCATAAAATGGGGGAGAGGGACTTCCAGGCAGAGGAGATAGCCTGGGGTCAGTAGAGACAAGGGAAAAGGGGTTCGAACACCCAGCAGAGGAGTCCGGTTTTCTCCTGTGGGCAAAAAGGAGCCACTGAAGGTGTGAGACGTGGGGAGGGGCCCGGGCAGATCGCGGGAACGGGGTGGGCTGGAAGGGTGGGACTGGTGTCCGAGGCCCTTAGCTCCGAGTGAGACTGAGGATGTCCAGGCTGGAGCTGAGGGAAACTGCTGAATGGGGCGAGCATGGCCTCTCCAAGCCTCACCCTGGAACGCAGGGACCTCCGCGCATCGGTCTCGGACCTTCCTTCGGCCGCCCGTGCGCCCCGCGTGCCCTCCGCGAGCCCAGCACATGCCCTGCGGGGACCGGAGCCGCTCTCTGGAGGCGGGGAGGAGGCCGGCTCTTCCGCTCCCTGCGCCCCCTGCTGGCCTCGGGGCGGAGCACCCAGCGCTCACCGCCCTCCCGCCTGTAGTTTACTGCACACCCGTTATGCGCCCAGCGCTGCGCTGGGGGCAGGGGATGCAGCGGACCCCAGACGGACCGGCTCGCCCTCCCTGGCTTCCAAGAAACCAGTCGGCTACTACCCAGAGTATGGGGGGAGGGGGGCGGGGAGGTGCTGCTCAGGCAGCTGTGGGATCCAGAGGCGGGACCTGGACCGCCAGGAGGGCTTCCTGGAGGAGGAAGTAGTAATAATAATTGTATTTATTAAGCAGATTCTATGTGCCAGGCATCCAGTTAAGGGCTGGGAAAGCAGAATCTCACTGAATTCTCACAAAAGCCCCGTGAGTATGGGGAAACTGGGGTTCAAGGAAGCAAAAATGTCATCTCCCCTGCCCGGCCTGGGCCTCTCAGAGCCCTTAGAATAACACCCTGACCCCTCCCCAGGCCTCCAGGCCTTGCACCTCTCCCACTGGGCCTGCCCCCTCCCCCACCATCACTTGGATCCCCCGCTCCTTCCGCACACAGCCTTGCCACCTGGCCTGCAACTTCCTGGGGACAGTTAGGGTCGGGGGCTTCCCTCTGTGTGGAGCAGCGAGGGGAGGCTCCCAGGATTTGGGAAAAGGGACACAGAATGCCACAGCCCCTTCCAGCGGCCACAGGAGCATCCACAAGGCCCATCTGGGCCTGCTGCCAGCATCATGGGGCCTCAGAGAGAGCTGGCCTGAGGAGCAAAGCTGCCCCCCACGGACACCTCCTCAGGGGGCAAAGGCCTGGGGTCCTTGGGGACTTCGAGGAAGCGCCTCCTCCCCTGGGACCTACATTCCCCAAGACATTTTCCTTCTTACTGAAGCCCCTGTGGTTTCACACGTTTACTCTTTGAAAGCCACTGACCCTGAGGTGTCCTCATGCCTGCTGAGGACAGACGCAGGGGAATGACCAAGTCTATTTCTAGTCTTCAAGCTGCTCAGCTGCAGGGAAGCTGGCCTGGGTTCAGGTTCTGGCCCTCCTCTCTCTGGCCATAACATGTGGCGCAAGGGGCTTCAACTAGCAGAGCCTCAGTTTCCCCAAATGGCACCCCCTCACAGGGTTGTGTGAGTGGGAATTTCGCACACACTAAGGGTCAACACGGTCATCATTCAAATCCTAGCACCCATCCCCATGCTGTGTGACCACCGGCAAGTCATTCAACCTGTCTGTGCATCAGAACAAAGGCAGCGGGCCGTGAGGAGGGAGCACTCCATGCAGAAGTCCTCCGGTTGTGACTTGCTCCGCACCCACACAGCAGCCCCTCGGAGCGAGCACAGGCTGCATGGCTGGAACAGAGGTCTCGGGATCCGGGGCCCCTCTGCCCGCTGATGACCGCAGGCTGAGGATGACCCTGGCAGATGCCAACTTCTCACAAAGACACACAAGAAATCACGTATTTCAACTGTTTTATTTGCTTTCTGGGGTGTCAAGTTTGGGGTCTCCCAGAGCCCAGCCCCCAGCAAAGCACGGCAGACCCTTCCCGGCCTAGGGTCCCAGGCTCGGGGTTTCAGACAAGGCACTCATGGGAGCTCTGGGGGCCAGGGAGGAGCCACCCGAGGCCGCAGGGGCCGGGCCCTCCCTTGGGGAGAGAAGACACGGTCACCTTCGGCAGGAAAGGTTTTTCCTAGAGAGATTTAGGACCAGATAGAAACCTGAGATGGTGGGGGAGCCCCAGAAACACAGCAGGGACCCCTCGGGCAGGCAGAAAGTCACTCCACTTCCCAGGACCCAGAAGGGCCTCCCGTGGGTCCGGGGACGCTGCAGGCCTTGGGGACATAGAGCCAATTCGAAACCAGCTTTCTCTGAGATTTCCTCAGAATAGAACGTGGAGGACACGGGGGCCCCTCGCCCAGGCTCCAGCCCTCGAATGGCTTGGTGGGGCCAGGCCTGGGCCATCGGAGCCAGGGCCACCTCCCTGAACCAGAAGGGCTTCTCTCTCCCAGCCTGTGCCCTCTCTCTGTGGTCCTTGCGTGCTGGAGAGGCAGGCACTTCTGTGGGTCTCTGGCAGCTGAAGGGGAGGCTTGGGTGATGAGACAGGAGGAGAAACAGATTTGGGGGCGGGCAGCTCCGGGCTGGACTGGAGCCCATCGAGGCCCGGGAGACCCCACACTCGGCTCGTGACAAGTGCCTCTGAGCCAGAGGACAGCCTCCCGGCAGGCATGTTCAGCTTCCATCCAGGAGTTAACTTTCAAGATGTCAAGTCAGCAAACACCTGCCTTTGCAAACAGCCCTCCTGCCCTGGGTCTGAGGGCGCCTGTCCTTCAGCGTGCCTCCTCAGCGCAAAACAGAGACGCACTCCATCCCAGGGGCAGCCCCAGGCCCTCCTGAGGCACTTGTGCCTGGAGAAGGGAAATTTAATCTTGGCTATAAAAACAAAGCCCTGGGGACCGGCTCCATGGCCGAGTGGTTAAGTTCATGTGCTCCGCTGCAGCGGCCCAGGGTTCGGATCCTGGGCGCGGACATGGCACCGCTAGTCAGGCTATGTTGAGGCGGCGTCCCACATGCCACAACTGGAAGGACCTGCAGCTAAGATATACAGCTATGTACAGGGGGGTTGGGGAGATAAAGCAGAAAAAAAAAAAGAAGATTGGTAACAGTTGTTAGCTCAGGTGCCAATCTTTAAAAAAAAAAAAGCCCTTTTTGGTTCCTCCAAGTCCTTGGATGCCATGGGATTGGTGGCCCCGGCGACAGCCTGCCATGAGGTGGCCTGCTGCTGCCTGTGCGGCCACCACCAGTGCCCCATGCTGGCAGGAGGCTACCACAGGCTCCCAGCAGCCTTGGAGTGGAGGCTGGGCCCACAGAGAAGAATGGGGCTTTGTCCCACCATCCCTGACGAAGACTTCTGGGTTCAGACACTCCAAGGGGCGGAGAGGTCAAAGGTCAACAGTCTAGACAGTGACAGCAAAAGAGAGGCTAGTGTAGCAGGCAGATTTCCACCAGCAGCCCCGGGAGGACAAGGCATGCGGGTGTCCACACACACCAGCTGGCCTGGCTTCCTGGCAGAAACCTCTAAGATAACAAAAGGCACCTCAAGTCCGCTTTTCCAGCCGTCCCCTTGAGCAGACCCTTTCTGTTCTAGAAGTGCCTGTGCCAGCAAAGACCAGGGCAGCTGAAAACTATTTTCCTTGCTGAAACGATTGCATTCCAACATCCTTCCGAAGACCTGGCACCGATCTGGAAGCCGTGACTCCTGCCCCAACTGGTCCTGTCTCTCCTGGTGGCTGTTCCTTGGTTGGACCAAGTGGGCCAGGTGGCACCATGCCCCGTCCATCAACTCAAATTCCGGCCTCTTCCCACCTCTTTCTATCCACTCTGTTTTATTTCTTTCTCAGGCCACATACTCATGCACGTACCGCTGATCTTTTTGGCGGGGAGGGGAGCCAAAGGTGCTGAGACAAGAAGAAAGGTACAGGGTGCAGAGGCTCTGCCATCTTGAAGGAGACGCCGTCACCAGACACCCAGGTCACTGTCCCAGCTCCACTGTTCCCCATCGCACCAGCCTCCATGGGCTCACCAGGGAGTGGTCCCCTCCTCTCTCCTACAAGACCCCCCAGCATCACTTCTCATTTCCCCCTCCAGCCTTCCCACCACATCTCTCAGCCCATCTTTCCACTTTAACACTTGGTGCCCCCACTTCTGGCACTGCTCTCCTGCACACCTGCCAAGCCACACCCACTCCACAGGCCCATCCCTCTGCCCCTTCTGTGCCCTCCATGCCACTTGAGACTCTAAAAATGACAAGGGAGAAGGAATAGGACCTGGTCCCCTTCACACACAAGGGCATTTTAGTTGGAGACCCAACAAATGCAGACAGACATGCCATGGAGTGAATGGATGAGTCTTCCCAAAAGAAAAAGATTAAAAAATTTAAAACAGAAAACTAGAAAAGTGGGCAGGGAGCAAGTGAAATACTTAATGGCTGTCTGATTAAATAAAAATGAGCTAAATGCTCTGCATTGTGAACAAGGACAGGATTCCAGCTGGACTCGGGGAAATCTGAAACCACTGCAGGAACACAAAAATGACACACATGCACTCGACAATGGTCGGACAACCAGTTATAGCTTTAAGTTGCTAACTCCCATGGTCCTTTAAACAGAGAGGTGGGCTGAGGACAAAAGAAAGATAAATGTGAAGTTTAGGGGTGGCATGTCTGGGTTCCAGCTGGTGCCCAGCTAAGCTCAGACCTGCTCACCTCCAGCCCCGCATCTTGCCTAGATCCATTTTCTCCTCAGAGCCTGGCAGGTCAGACCTTTGGGAAACAGAGCTACATGGAGCTTGATGTTGTTCTGAAGAGGAGCTCTAGGCGATCCCTGGACCTTGAGCTCCCCACATTCAAAAGAGTCACAACCTCTGCTGGCAGAGGCTGGCTGAGCAAGCGGATGCAATGACAACTCACACTGCGGATTTCTCAGGAGACTGCAAACCCCAACTGGAGACCTGGGGAGGGCGTTTCCAGCAGAAGGAGGGCTGGCACGGAAAAGGGAGCAGAGTCCAGGTCATTTTAACCTCCTGGCCACAGTCCACACCACTGCCAAGCGCTGACCCCAAGTCCCCACCTGCACCCACTTTCCCCCTCCAGAGAAAGCCCAGGACTCAGAAAATGTGTTTAACTCAGACGCCCATCCACCCGGTTCCCAAGTGACACAGCAGCTCAGCAGAGGCAGGAGCCACCCCGGCCATCGAGCAGGGGGAGAGAGGGTGGATGTTTAAGAAAACAAAGATCTCAGCTGTTCAAAAAGAACTGCATGCCGGGAAACACCAGGCGACCCAACATGACCTCCGATTCCCGATTCCCGCAGCCTTGCCCTTAGGGAAACGCTGCCACTGCGCGGCCTACGGAAACAAGAGGACCGCAGAGCGCACGCCCTCCTCCGCGCCTCCCGGCAGCGCGGCCGGCCGGCGGGGTCAGGGCCCAGTTGGGCTTCGTCCCCCGGGGGACGTCACTCTCATCCCTGGCTGGTGAGTTCAAAGTCAGCAGGGAGGGAGATAAACATTTACTCCTGAGTCCTGGGCGCGCCTCCAAAACCGTCTACACAAAGGCCGGCCGGCTGCCCCGCCGCCCTCTGCTCGGACGCCAGCACAACGCAGCCCAGCAAACACCAGCCCCCAAACCCCATTTTGGGCCCCCAGTGACGGAGCACAAGAAGCTGATCCCCAGCATCAAGACTGTGAAAACCCAGGCCCGATGCGGGGTGGGTTTGCAGCTGCTACAAATTTTTACACATTAAAAAAATCCATGCGCACATCGCAATGACAAGGTCTGCCTTCCCGGCAGCGGCAGCTCCGCAGGCCAGGGGCGCTTGGGTGCACAGAGGGTCAGCCGCCCCCTCCGCCACCTGGGGCAGCAGCTCGCCCTCCCACGGGCGGCAGCCCCAGCCGGACCTCCACATCAGCCCCACCACAAAGATGCAGCTCAGGGTTAGGGCAGGAGGCAAGAGGGGTTGCGTCCCACTGTTGAAAAAGAAAAGACACTGCTGTTGTTGGCTGAAGCTTGCTTTTGAACCAAAGGGAATATAAATTACTCTGTGCCCAAACTAGCACTATTGTTTTGAAAAGAGAAGAAGAGAGAAAGAAAGCCACGCCACAGCCAAGGCTGTGCTTTCCGGGGCTGTCCAGGCGGTCGGACCGGCTTGAGGGCAGGGGCTCGAGAAGCTTTTAAGTTTGGGAAAAGCCAGCCCAGGCAGAGGGAGTCTGGAACCCTTCGCCAGAGACTTGGAAAAGTGCACAGGCGGCCCAGCCGTGGGATCCCAGCGTGACACCCACCCGACCAGGGCTCTCTGAGGAAATCAGGACCCACCAGCAGCCGTCACAGCCGCGTCCCCAGAAGCAAAGGGGAATAGAGCAAACATCTGCAGCTGCCTCCTTCAAATCAACGGCAGCTGCACAGAGAAAGAGGGAGCAGAGGCATGTCAGTGGGGACATGTGATCCAAATCCGATCTCAGCTGAGGAGCTGGGCCTCCCTGGCCAGGCCCCGCGGGCAGACGTCTCCCCGGGTCCCCAGTGGCACCAGGTCCTGGGAGGCCTGAGTGGCTCTCAGTGTTTGTGGCGACAACTGAGTTTGCCTTCCGACTGCTCCAGGACATCCAGCATCTCCTCGATGATGGCCTGCAGTGCCCTGCCCAGCTGGTCTGCGTTGTACGGCTTGCCCAGTGGAGGCACGTGGACGAAGGCGGAGCGGCCGTGGCTCTGGTACAGGGAGGTGTAGTAGGTGAAGTCGCAGAGGTACCTAAGCCCAGGGCACGGGGGCAGCAGGGAGATCACAATGGGGTCAAAGTCAGTCCACTGACCAACAGGACCCCCTCCATCCAAATCCACCATAAGACCCCAACTTCAGCAGAAATCTGCAAGAGGGAAGACTGCCTCTCTCCCAAGCCAGTGAAAAGGAAAACCCCTGATGACTCCAGGTGGGCGTGCATGTGGGAGGTAAAAGCCGACAGCACACCCCTAATGCGGTGCCTTGGCAGACTCCCTGTGCACACGCAGGGCGTGCGGCGAGCAGGAGGGCTCCAAGTCAACACTCTGGTTTAACAGAGGGATCAGTGGTGGAAGGAGGGAGGGCAAAAGAATTTCTCACAAGAGGAACATGTGAGAATATATTCCAGAATTGTCTGTGTATCTTAAAATTAGTTTTAAAATGAGACTGATGGTAAATTGAGTCACTCCTTCATTCTTTCAGTCCCCTGAATTTGCCACCTGTCGCCTTTGGGCTGGAGAAGAATATCAAGTGTTGAGAAATGGAGGCACTTAGTGCTGAGAAGGTGTGGAACAGAGAGGACGTAACTTCGTCTGGGAGGCTGGGGAGGCCTCCCCAAGGACGTGATAAATTGGAGCTAAGACCTGGAAAAGGTGTTATCAGAGGGAGGTGAATTCTGGGCAGAGGCCACAGCACATGCAAAGGCCCTGAGGCTAGCGTGAGCTTAGTGTGTTTGAAAAATAGGAGGAGGTTTGTGTGTCTGGAAGGCAGTGGGTGAGGGGAAAGTGGAGGCAGATGAGGCTGGAGAGGTGGGCAGGGGCCAGACCACACAGAACCAGTGGGTGGTGGGCAGAGGTTGCGATTTGATTCTTGGAGCAGTGGGAGCTGTAGGAGGGATTAAGCAAGGAAGGGACATCATTTGACTTGAATTTATAAAAGACCTCATAATAGGCTGCATAGTTTCTCCTCAAAATTCTTGTTCACCTGGAACCTCAGAATGTGACCTTATTTGGATAGAGGGTTTCTGCAGATGTAAATAGTGAAGACGAGGTGATGCTGGACTAGGGTGGGTCCTAAATCCAATGACAGGTGTCCTTATAAGAAGGCCATGTGAATCCACACACAGGGAAGACGGCCACATGATGATGGAGGCAGTGATGCATCCACAAGCCAAGGATCGCTGAGGGCTGCCAGCAGCCTCCTGACGCCAGGAGTGAGGCCTGGAAGAGGCAGAGGGAGCCAGCCCTGCCCACACCTTGGCTGTGGACCTCTAGCCTCTAGAACTGGGAGAGAATAAATTTTTGGTGTCCTAAGCCCCCCACGTGGTAATTTGTTACAGCAGTCACATGACACTAATACAGAAATCACTGCTTAGGGGAGAAGGACTGGCAGGGTCGGGGTGGGGTGGCAGGAAGAACGCCATGGAGGCAGCTGGGGCAGCGTCCAGGTGAGAGATGCCAGGGGCCTGGGTGGGAAGAAGTGGACGGATCCATACATAATGAGTTCCAGAAGCAGAATCAGTGGGGCCTGTTATATATATATACTCAGCTCTGTATATATACTAATATACTCTGTTTATATACATATATATACTTAGCTCTTGTGCATGGTAAGAATTATATCATATGAAATGCTATGTAAAGTTCCCTACATAAAAATATGGATAATACTATTAATATCCCATGCTTTAATCAGGTGATAAATCAGTAAAGTTTTTTTTAAAAAAGTGAGGGGCCAGCCCAGTGGTGTAGTGGTTAAGTTCATGCTCTCTGCTTCAGCGACACAGGGTTCATGGGTTTGGATCCTGGGCACGGACCTATGCACAACTCATCAAGCCATGCTGTGGTGGTGTCCCACATACAAAATAGAGGAAGACTGGCAAAGATGTCAGCGCAGTGACAAATCTTCCTCAAGCAAAAAGAGGAAGATTGGCAATAGATGTTAGCTCAGGACCAATCTTCCTCACCAAAAAAAAAAAAAAAAAAAGGTGAGTGCTTGTCCTAAAAAGGTCAAAGTCAACACATTTGGCTAAACACCAGCCTGAGCTGGCAGAGGAGGGAAACCCTGCCCACAGCCAACCCAGAGGGCCCCTTGGTGCCCTACCTGCCAGCATCTTGTGAGATGGTCACCGATACATCCAGGCCCAGCGTAGTGACCCTCTGACATACAGCATCCATGTCGATGATGGAGTCAATGCTTTCAGGCCCATCCTCCACGCAGCACTGGGAGCCGGGGCAGAAGCGGCAGTTGTCCAGCCCCTTGTAGCCCTTGTTGTGCCCACACTTCTCCAGCGTGACTGTGGTCGCCATTCCTGACACCCCCACATGTACCACCAGCTGTGGACAGATGTGCAGGGCTTAATGGGATCTGGCCATGAGACTAGGGGTCCCCTCAGGGCAAGGAGAGGACAGTATCCTTGCTGGGTTCTGCCTGGGGTTACATTGTTTCTGACTTCTTGCTGCTGGAAATAGATCCTACAGTCACTCTTGCAGAAAGGTATGCCAAGCGAAACATACAAGAATGTGAAACATGCAGAGATGTTTGCTGCAGCTTTGTCATTACAATCGAATGCAGGAACAGCCTAATAGCCATTCATGGAGGCAGGGGGTTGACTAAATAAGTTATGAACAACTATGTAGCCATTAAAATGCCCAAGGTAAGCTCTATAGGGAATGATCCTCAAGACATATAGCCAAATGCAAAAGGCAAGGTATAACTTGCAGGAATCCAGTTTAAAAATAATCCAAGAGATAATAATTTGTCAGTGGTCACTTCAGGGTTGTCTCTAAAAATAAAAAAAACCCACAGAAATGACTGGCATGCCAATTAATAGGAAAATGGCTATATTAATTATCAAAAATTACCCAGCCATTAAAATAACGTTTAGACGTCAGCATCATAGCAGACTGAGTTGTTCCTGTTGTCTCTCCCCTGAGTTACGACTAAATGGACATCCATTAACCAAGAGAGGTCTCCCCACACAGCATGACAGGATGCTGAGATCCATGCAGCCGTACGTCTGAAGGTGGGGGACTGGCCCCCGGGAAGCAGAGGGACTAGGGGAGCAGCCCCCTCCCCATCACTGGCAGCAGCCATCCAGGGCGCAGACCCTCACACAGCAGCCGGGCGGCTGTAGGAGGCGGGGGCAGCCTGGCCTGCGCACGATCACTTTCAGAGGGGTGGCCCAGGCCATGGGAACACCTGCTGTGCCACAGCAGCCCCGCCCATGCAAATGCTCCACATCAAGCACAGCGGCTCAGCTGAACTGCCCGCAAACACAGAGCTGGCCCACGTGCGCGAAAGAAAGCACGCCTCCCTTCCCACTGAGCGCAGCAGCTCCACCAGTCCCCTGCCAAGCACAGTGGTCTCACACCAGAGTGACCTGCTGGCGGAGCACAGAGGCCCCACCTGTACGTGCATGCGTGACCTGCCAAGCAGCTGCGGCCAGTGCACCAATGCAGACGAGCCTGACCGGCCCAACTTCCAGCAGATGGGGCAGGATCAGAAAACACAGCTCTGGCCCAGCCCAGCCATGGCAGGTGGAATCTGCAACCCAACACCACCACAGATGTGCCAGCAGAGGATCACTTCATCAAACACCATGAGGAACTGCAGTGACGCTGCAGAGCAGAAGGAAAACGACAGCTCTCCAGAAACCAGTCCTGAAGTCACAGCAATTTACAACCCGAATGACAGAGAATCCAAAATAGCTGTCATAAAAAAACTCAACGAGTTCCAAGAAAACTCAGAAAGACAGTTCACTGAGCTCAGGAATAAAATTAATGAGCAGAAGGAGTCATTCACCAAAGAAACTGAACCTCTAAAAGGAAACCAAACAGAAATTCTGGAGATGAAGAACACCATTAATGACAGACACCCCACAACTAGAAGGACCTGCAACTAAGATATACAACTGTGTACGGGGGGGGGGGGGGGGCGGTGGGGAGATAAAGCAGAAAAGAAAAAAAAAAAAAGATTGGCAACAGTTGTTAGCCCAGGTACCAATCTTTAAAAAAAAAAAAAAAGACACAATAATCTAGAATCCATAAAAAACAGAGCTGATGTTATAAAGGACAGAAGTGGTAATTTAGAGGATAGAAATATAGAAATGCTTCAGGTGGAGGAGAGAGAACTAAGATTTTTTGAAAAATGAAGGAATTCTTTAAGAAATATCTGACTTTATTAGGAAACACAACATAAGAATTATAGGTATTCCAGAGGGAGAAGAGCAGAGAAAGGAGCAGAGAACTTGCTCAGAGAAATAATAGCTGAGAACTTCCCAACCTGGGGAAGGAGCTGGACTAACAAGTACACAAAGCCAATAGAACTCCTAATGACATGAATGCAAAAGGCCTTCTCCAAGGCATGTATCACTAAAACTAACAAAAGTCAACAACAAATAAAAAATACTCAGGGCAGCAAAGCAGAAGAGAATAAACTACAAAGGAAGCCCTATTGGGCTTTCAGCAGATTTCACAGCAGAAACCTTACAGGCTAGGAGAGAGTGGAATGATATATTCAAAATACTGAAAGACAAAAACTTTCAGCCAAGACTTCTCTATCCAGTGAAACAGTCCTTCAGACATGACAGAGAAATAAAAGCTTTCCCAGATAAACAAAAGCTGAGGGAGTTTGCCGCCACTAGGCCTGCCTTACAAGAAGCATTGAAAGGAGCTCCCCATCCCAAACTAAGAAGCCAAGGTTTACAAAACCTTGAGAAAGGAGACAAATAGATACAGTAAGAAAACTGCACCTCTGTACCAGGAGAGGTTCTTAAACATTAATTACAACATAAAAGACAAAGGGAAGGGGCTGGCCTTGTGGCTGAGTGGGTAAGTTCGCATGCTCCACTTTGGCAGCCCAGAGTTTTGCCAGTTCGGATCCTGAGCGTGGACCTAGCACCACTCACGAAGCCATGCTGAGGCAGAACTATGGGGATCTACAACTAGAATATACAACTATGTCCTGGGGGGTCTTTTGGGAGAAAAAAAAAAAAAGATAGGCAACAGATGTTGGCTCAGGTGCCAATCTTAAAAACATATATATGCCTTTTTTTAAAAGACAAAGGGAAGGAAAGCATCAAAAATAACTATGAACACTACAATTTAGTCACAAACTCACAAAACAGAAAGAACAATCAGAACTCAGAAGGGGAAGAGGTAAGGGATGGAACCTGCTTATGCAATGGAGATAAGGAGCTAACAGAAAATGGACTATCTCATCTATGAGATCTTTTATACAAACCTCATGGTAACCACTAAACAAAAAATTAGAGCAGAGCCGCAAATCATAAATAAAGAGAAAACTGAGAAAATCATCACAGAAAACCACCAAACTGAAATGGCAGTCAGAAATACAAGAGAAGAGAAACAATGGAAATATAGAACAACCAGAAAACAAAAGATAAAATGGCAGTATTAAGCCCTCATATATCAATAATCACTCTAAATGTGAGCGGATTGAATTCTCCAAGCAAAAGACACAGAGTGAGAGCCAGCCCTGATGGTGTAGTGGTTAAAGTTCATCACTCTCACTGCTTTAGCAGCCTGGGTTTGTTACCCAGTGGTGGAACCACACCACCACACCACCCATCTGTCAGTTGCCATGCTGAGGTGGCAGCTCACATAGAAGAAGTGGAAGGACTTACAACTAGGATATACAACCATGCATGGGGCTTTGGGGAGGAAGGAAAAAAGAAGAAGAAGAAGATTGGCAAGAGATGTTAGTTCAGGGCAAATCCTTCCCTGCTTAAAAAAAAAAAAAAAAAAACCCACAGAGTGGCTGGCTGGATTAAAGAACAAGACCCAACAATACACTGCCTCCAGGAAACACATCTCAGCTCTAAAGAGAAACACAGGCTCAGAGTGGAGGGATGCAAAACGATACTCCAAGCTAATGGCAAACAAAAGAAAGCAGGTATTGCCATATTTATATCAGACAGAGTAGACTTCAATATAAAGAAGGCAATGAGAGACAAAGAGGGGCAGTACATAATGAGAAAAGGAACACCTCATCAAGAGGACATGACACTTATAAATATATATGCACCCAACACAGGAGCACCAAAGTACATAGAGCAACTATTAACAAACCTAAAGCAAGAAATTGACAGCAACACAATAATAGTAGGGGACCTCAACACGCCACTTACGTGAATGGATAGATCATCCAGACAGAAAGTCAACAAGGAAATAGTAGCCTTAAATGAAGCACTAGACCAGATGGACTTAATAGATATATACAGAACATTCCATCCAAAAACAGCAGAATACACATTCTTCTTTAGTGTACATGGAACATTCTCAAAGATAGACCATATATTGGGAAACAAGGCAAGCCTCAATAAGTTTAAGAAGATTGAAATCATATCAATCATCTTTTCCCACGACAAGGCTATGAAACTAGAAATCAACTACAAGAAAAAAGCTGGGAAAGTCAAAAATATGTGGAGACTAAACAAGAAGCTACTGAACAACCATGGAATCAATGAGGAAATCAAAGGAGAATCAAAAAATACCTGGAGACAAATGAAAATGAAAACACGACATACCAACTCTTATGAGATGCAGCAAAAGTGGTTCTAAGAAGGAAATTTATTCACTACAGGCTCATCTCAACAAGCAAGAAAAATCTCAAATAAGTAATTTTAAACTACACCTAACAGAACTAGAAAAAGAAGAACAAACAAAGCCCAAAGTCAGCAGAAGGAGGAAAATAATAAAAATTAGAGCAGAAATGAATGAAATAGAGACTGAAAAAAAATTAGAAAGGATCAATGAAACTAAGAGCTAGTTCTTTGAGAAGATAAATAAAATTGACAAACCCTTAGCCAGACTCAGCAAGAAAAAAATAGAGAAGGCTCAAATAAATAAAATTAAGTTGAAAGAGGAGAAATTACAGTGAATACCACAGAAATACAAAGTATTATAAGAGAATACTATGAAAAACGATGTGCCAACAAATTGGACAATCTAGAAGAAACGGATAAATTCTTAGACCACCAAAACTGAATCAAGAAGAAAGAGAGAATCTGAATCACAAGTAAAGAGATTAAAACAGGAATCAAAAATCTCCCAAAAAACAAAAGTCCAGGACCAGACGGCTTCTCTGGCGAATTCTACCAAATACTCAAAGAAGATTCACTACCTATCCTTCTCAAAATATTCCAGAAAACTGAAGAAGATGGAGTGCTTCCCAACACATTCTACGAGGCAAACGTCACCCTGATGCCAAAAACAGACAAGGACAACACAAAAAGGAAAATTATAGGCCAATATTGCTGATAAACATAGATGTAAAAAACCTCAGCAAAATATTGGCAAACTGAATACAGCAA